AGGGAGATTTTTTAATGGGCACAGTATCGACCTAAAATTGAATAAATTACCATAAACGATTAAATTGCTAAACCAGATAACTGCCTCCCCTCTAGTTTCTCATTTCCGTCTCTTAATGCATTTTCAATTGTTGGTCAATCATGTAGGACGTCTTCTAGATTCTTTTGCAATTTCAAGATAATTTTACCCTCTTTATGCGGATTTTTTTTTTTTTTTTTTTCACTTGTACTATTTCAAAATGTACGTGAAAAATTTTCATAGTAGTAATGGTCTATGATCGTCTTTCCAAAAATATCTTACTAAGATGAGTAATGGGGATGGTGGGCATTGAATAACTGTTATATTGGGTGTTTATTTAAAATTGTGTCATGTCCTATACTCCTATGTATTTTGGGCTGGAAGGCCATGTCTTATTTAACTTACTAGGTTAGTCCCGTGCGATGCACGGTTTAATAATAAAAAAATTTATTGTAAGTGTGTAATATAATATTTTAAGCAAAACATAATAACAAATCGTGATCCCTCTAGTTAGATTAATTGAGCTTAAATGAAGGACATTATTAATCAATCATTTTCAAATATTACTTTACCTTGAAAAAGTTTTTTAAAAAAAAGAATGATGTCATAATAATTTTGGAAGGAAAATTTATTATAAGAAGCTGCCATGTGGATAGTGATGATGTCAGCGGTAATTACTTTAGTTTTAGTTATATAGATTGAACTTGTTTTGACTTATTCCAGACAAGATAAGTTGACTCAAGTTAAGATATTTTAAAGAACATATAAATTCAGAAGAAGCAGTTGAGATAATTTCAGACCAAACAAGATTTTCAATTTCATATACAAGTTTCAGACAAAATGATTTCCAGATCAGATTAGTTAATTAGTTTGAATAACACGAAGCATTGGTATGATATGAAAAAAGTTTTGGATTGCGTGAGCTGATTCTGAAAGAGGTTTTTGGTTTGTTTTGTGGTTGCAGGGTTTGGCTTCTGCAATTGATGACCAAGATGTTGGAAAATTTACGGATCTTGTTAAAGAGTTTGATAGCATGACCCCACTGGTATAATTTCAGTTAAATAGATCAGTTCACTTACTGTTAATGTTCTTCTGAATGAAATGAGTATATGCATGGATCTTTTCCTGAAATTTAAACTGTTTGTTTATATATTGCCATGCACATGTCATCCTACAATTTTCCACATACATGCATGTGTGTCCAGCTTTAGGGCAAGTACACCTAAGTCAGAATTTATGTTCTACTGGGTGGATATTGACTTGGGGAGAGTCTACTATACATTTATACACTAGAGTGTTTGCTACTTTTTGCAATCCATGCCCCTCAAATAGTGTATTCTGTTGTGCAAGTAATTCCTGGAGATTGTAACTGCTGCCCCCCTTTACTCCCTCCACAAAAAAAAAAAAAAAAAAAAAAAACCCTCGTTTTTTTGGGTGAGATTGCTGCTCCCCTTTGTGTGTAGTCAATCTGTTGCTGGATAAGTCACATTAGTCTGATGTCAGCATATGTTTTATTAGTCTAGTGTCTGCTCTCAAACCGTGAGTTAGATTTCTGGAATGTGTTTGGGACACTTTTTACCATGTGCATTGTTGTGATAGTTTTTGAACTTTGATGAATAGGATGCATGGAAGACGACTCTTCTTCTAAGAGTGAAGGAAAATCTGAAGGCCCAAGATAATGATGACGATGATCTGACATGAGAAGTTTGATATGCTGTCAACTTTCAATTTGTTCCATTTGGATAAAAGTGCTGCCTTGATGTACAAATGTTCTTCAGTGACATTTAAGCATGGACTATGGCTTATGAGGATGTTTTCATGTTGGAGATGTGTTGATTTTGTATTTCTGATTGTATTTTTAGTCTGAGAGATAGAAGCGGGTTATCCTCGCTTTCCTGTGATGTTTTGCTTCTCATTATTGGTTACTAATGTGAAGGTGATTTTTTATAAGATGTCTAATATCAATGGGACAATGGTTTTGCTGTTGTCAATTCTTAACATTTGGCTGATGAAATATGATTATATGAATAGTAGTGGGGGAATTGTGTTATACCAAGATCATTGTGTATGGAACCAGAATCGTGTCACAAGAGACAAAATATCAGATGTGCTAATTCATGGGCGTTGGGCCTGGCTGTCCAGCAATGTACTGCCATCGGATTTTAGTACGCTAGGAGGTTCACTAGACGAATGGTCCTTGGTTGCAGGCTTTTTATGATTGTTTAGATGATTTGTAGTACTTTCTCCATTATGGCAGTTCTTAAAACTTCCAATTTTAGATGTCACAAAAATATTTGTCAAGTTTTCAATGACAGACAATAAAATCATTTCATGTACCATTAAAGCCAATTTTTAACAATTTCAGGTAATCTAAACGGTGAGAACTGAGAAGCATCACAACAAGTGATATTCCTTTATATTTTTTCATTTATAAAATATGACATATAATATGAGACGGAAGAAGTACTTATAAATCTAATTTTTGCTTCAGACAATTTGTCGATGGAATGAGCTTTAGTAACCAATCTCATCATGCCTTCAGCCTGGCTTCACATTATATTTATGCTAATTAAACATAACATTAGTTTAATTATGAGTATAATTTATACTTCGTACGTAACACAATCATTCGAGTTTTTAGCAATTCTAGTAAAACGTTGTTGGTACTAACTACTCGTACTAAATTGTGCTTGATAGTCATTTCTTAACATAACAAAACTGCTAATTTTACTCCCTAACCATTTGTAATTGAAATTCAATAATTTCCCTCGCAGTTTGAAAGGAAGAGTTTGTTTTTAGCTTAGAAGGGGAGTTGCTACTAGCTACTGCTTCTATTTTTCCTAACAATTTTAAGAGAGAAAACGAGCACCACGACGACGGCAGCAAACGCTGCGCGGCGCAGAAGCGACGGAGCTGGCGGAAGAAAAGCGCCGGCAACGGCGAGGGCAGATAACTTAACAATGTCTAACATACTTGACGTTGCCATTGAACAACACATTAGCTCTAGCACCATTTTTACTCCCAATTTTCTCTCTCCAAATTCAACATTGGTGAAACCCTAAAACCTCATTCTACAACTTTTCTGCTCAGAGGTAAGCAACTAAATCAAGTTTATCTATCTCACTAATTATTTTTTGGTTTAATTTTTTTCCTTTTGTGATTTCTGTTGTTTATTTTACTCATGCTTATTCGAATTACTGAATTATTATTAATTTTGTGAAAACATTTAGGTTAAACCCTAGTTCTGAATTGGAGTGATTGATGATTTACAAAGGGTTTTTGGGGGGAGTGGCATAGGTGGGAAATAGATCAGAGAATTATGGGTATTGTTGTCTTAATATGCAAAGTATTATATGGGGTAGATTTTAATTTGTGGGGGCAAAAAAACCCAAAATTGAAAAGCTTGAAATTCTACGTGTATAATTGTGGGCTTTGAAATTTTTTAGGAAGAATTAGGATTTTTGGAATTGAATTCATAGTACCAGTGAAAGGTCTTACCACTAAGGCAGTCATTGAACAATTGCCTGGTGAAGCATATATGGCAGTAGCTTCACCCTTGCAATGGTCTTGGCCACATAAACCTCCGAATCGACAATTAAATCCGAATCCCCGGTTGCTGTCTAATGTTCCTCGGTGTGTCCCTATTGTAACTTCGGCCACTTCTTTGGAAGAGCCTCGCCCTGCTGTAATACTCCCTGGTCTGGGGAATAATTCAGGGGATTACCAGAGGCTGCAGGTGAGCTTAGAGGAATATGGGGTTAAAAGTGTGGTTGCTAGAGTTTCGAGGTTGGATTGGTTTAGGAATGCGGCGGGTTTAGCAGACCCAAGTTACTGGAAGGGTACACTTCGTCCTCGTCCTGTTTTAGACTGGTACCTTAATAGGGTGGATGAAGCTGTAAATGAAGCCAAGGAGATTGCTCAGGGTAGGCCACTCTCTTTGATTGGTCATTCGGCGGGAGGATGGCTTGCTCGAGTTTATATGGAGGAATTTGGGAAGTCTGATATCTCCTTGCTTTTGACACTTGGAACTCCACATTTGCCGCCTCCAAAAGGGGTGTCTGGTGTTATTGATCAAACGAGGGGGCTCTTGTATTATGTTCAAGATCATTGTGCTAAAGCTGTGTATACTCCTGAACTAAAGTATGTATGCATTGCTGGAAGGTATATCCAAGGAGCTCGAGTATTTGGAAATTCTTATGATATAGAGGATGCATCCCAAGCAGCTGCAGTCGTGAATATATCTGAGTCAACTTCGGATACTGTTACATTTCGAGCTCGCTTTGTTGGTCAGGGTTACAAGCAAGTATGTGGGCAGGCAGTTGTATGGGGTGATGGAGTTGTTCCAGAGGTATCTGCTCATTTAGAAGGTGCTCTTAATATAAGCTTGGATGGAGTATATCACTCTCCTGTTGGTTCAGATGATATCTCAAGACCCTGGTATGGCTCGCCGGCAGTTATTAAGAAATGGATAAACCACCTCCTAGATTGACCAGCTGTGAGTGCTTTAACAAAGAGATGAATGTAAAATAAGCTTAACTAGTTAGTGCTCATGCAAAAATGTTGCTGTCTGGCCTGTCTCATAGCAGCAAGGTTTCATAGATTCATTCATCAATTAGCTTTTATTCGTATCCACTATGTATTGGATGTAGAAGAAATCAACTAAATGGAGTCTCACCTTTTTTTTTTTTTTTTTTCTCTTTTCTCTTTTGGATGAATTTGTTCATAAAAACTGACAGAATAAATTTCACAACACTATGGATTGTCTAACACTTTGTTTGGATTGACGGAAATGGAGGGAAACGATGGGAATGGAAATAGAGGGATGAACTATCTTTCATTTGGATAAGAAATGAGGGAGGAAGGGAATTGGAGGGAAGAGAAATGGAGGGATTAAAATGTGAGAAACTGATCTCTCCAAGAATGGAGAGATTTGGAAGGAAAACTCATCTTTCTTCCCTTCCCTTCTTTTCTTTCCCATTTCTTTATCCAAACACGCCGTAAGTCTTGTATAGGCCCTGTTTTGCTCACCTCGTTTTCATTTTCAGGAAGATCAAGTTCAGGAAAAATAAGGGCTACCCAAATTCAACTTAAAACTAAAATAAATTTTAATATGTCGTATAGTAAAAAATAGGTGAAAAGCACGCAGCCTTAGTGCTTGCATAGGGTTATAATATTGTAACTAAGAATTTTTTTTTCATACTTTTGTTTGATTTTCTCTCCCCCTCCCAACCCTTCTTTCTCCGGTATACTCTCTTAAGTGAGTTTCTTTTCTCTCCTACATTTCATCTGATTCCCAAATCCTACTCCTAATTCTCTCTCGAACTGTTTAACTCCCCATATCTATCAACACATCACAGATGGGATGGCCCGCTATTGAATCTGGCTTTTACAAGAATCATTTTTTATAAATTAATTGATGGCAGGTCCTAGCCTGGCTTGTTATGTTAGTGGGTGGATAATGACACATAAAAAATAAATGCAGGCAAACTCTACAATCCCTCATTGAGTAATGAGATTTGAGTGAGCTTTTTATTAGGCTTGTCCTTAGCAAAAATTCTGCTGTAAACTCTGATGTTCTTTGCCTGGTATATCTGCCAATTCTTAGTGTAATTTCTTTATCAAGTATGAAGTTTGTTATTATTATGTGTTACTGCAGATTTTTTTTTTTTTGGGCATGCTTGTTCGAACCTTTGTTCTTATCACTGTGTTTGAGAGCCTGTGAGAGCCCCTTTCTTTGATTTATTATATTGCTTTACTTGGTATACTCGCATGTAGTGGGACTGGGCCAGCTGGAATATATATTGTCTTTTTTCTTCCCAAGAACTTTAGTGTTGCTTTGTTTTCTTCCAGTTCCTTATTATGTAAATTTGACAACCTCCACAACTGGGAACTTTGAATAATAGAATTAGCCTCAAATTGCTCCCTGAGAGTCCCTGTAATGAATTTCAGAGCATATAGGATTTTTATTTTTTGCTTACCTTGTCTTTTTGCAGAATTTTGAATCGTTGGTAGAGGTGGCTTCAAAATTTGTGTCAACATAAGGGATTGAATGGAGAAAATTTCTGCTACATTTGCTATGGGCTGGAGCATTGAACTTGAAAAAGGCCTTCGGTCCAGAAAACCAGGTAAATAATCATTATATAGGTTTAGATATTTATGTGGATATTGCATATAAAGGCATGCATGTTTGTTGATAAAATGTATCTTGGCGCATTGTATGCTTGTAGCCTTGTATGTGGATCTGACAGAAGTCTTGGCATGTCTAACAAGTAATATCACAATAGCTTCTGAGTATGAAAATTGTTGGTTGAATGTAAATTCTGATTTTCTCGTTTAGAGGCCATTTAGGGTATGAGTTGTTGTAGAGAAAATTCATCTGTTGGCCTCTACTCTTCTTTTCAGGTAATCCTATTGAATCAATAAATCTGATTGGTCCTAGACTAAAGCAGTGGTGTATGGAGCCACAACCCACTTTAGCTATGTATAACATGTTCAGCTTAGTTCCTGGAGAAGATAGACTTTTTGCAGATGCGATTCTCCTCAGGCTTGCAGACACGTTTGTTTCTGGGGACAGAGACATGAAGATTTCTGTCATAAGAGTGTTCTTGTCAATTTTGAGGCACTGCAAGAGGAAAGATGGGCAAGCACTTGGATTCTTTTCAAACATGGACGAGGATAACAAAATGGAATATTTGAGAAGAGTTAAAGTGGTTCTTACTGCTGAGAGTGTTGAGTCCAGAGCATTAGCTTTAATTTTGCTTGGGTGTTGTGCTGAGCTTGCTAAAGATGTTGCTGAAATACGACATGCGATACTATCTGCTTTGTATTCTTGTCATATTTTGGAGGTGAGGACCTGGTCTGGTTAGCATCTTCTATGCTGTCTGTTGTTTATTTGGATTTAACCTTGTTTCCTGGTTACTACTTAATATTATTGTCTTTGCATCTGGTTATAATTAAACTTGCAATTAGGACTTGTGTAATCTGATATATTGACAATTTGAAACCTGCTAAAACAACCCAAATTTTATTAAGTTTTTCTTTTCAATCCTGACCTGTCCCCTTCAGGTAGGTGAAATTAATTTGGCAAACGTCTATTCTTTACCATTTGAGAGTACTCTTTTATAGGTGGGCTAATGTTTGTACTAGTCTTGTCACTCTTGTGCTATTAAGAATAGAACATTATTGGATGCCAGGATCAACCCCCTCCCCCCCCCCCCCCCCGCGTCATGTGTTGCTCTGCACATTAATTATTTTATGTACTGTACAAACTTCTGGATTGTGAAAGTCATGTTTTTTTGCATTTCTTGGTTAAAACTTTTGACTGCTGTTGCCTCTAGTAATTGCACTTTTGCCATCAAACTCAGTAGATTTCACCACCACCACCACCCTTTAGGATTTTGCCACTGGAGTGTATGATGATCATGACACTTCATGTTTTTTTGACAAGCAAGCTGAGAAGCAAGAGTTGAAGAAATTTCTGATAATAATTGAAGAAATATTTTGTTTGCCTGACAAAACCATTATAAAATACCCTGATCAATTTTAGGATTCCTCCATGGCCAACTTGTCGCCATACTCTTCTTTCTTGCAGGAAGCCCATGTGTTGGCGACTTTGTGCAATTTTCATAGCCCAAAATACGTACTTTTCAATATGGTAGACAATTAGTCCCAGCTGATATATAATTGTGGTTGTTTCTTTACAGGTCAAGGCATCACTGTTTGCAGCTGAATACTTTTCAGAAATATCAGATGACTTTGGGTTTGTTTTCTTGGAGAATCTTCTCAAACATATAAAATCACCAAAAACCTTGCCAGCTCTAAGAATTGCCGGAGCACGAACTTTTCCTAAAATGGGATGCTCAGTTTTACTTGCAATGAAATCATACAAGGTCTTTTGCTTATATTCTCTTTTTTGCTTTTTAATTAATGTGCTTTCTCTCTCTTAATGCCTATAATTACCCGATATACAATTTCTTTTTATTTATATGTATTTTTTGCTTCCCATCAATCATTCCATGTTGTCACGAACATTCTTATACACGTACGTGAAAGGATTTGCTATTGGACAACATACTGAAACAGTTGATGCTGATTGCAGTGAAAGATGCTATGCATTCTTGACCTGTTTAGACTTTAGACTTATTGACGATTAGGTTGTGACATTGGGACCTCTTCAGACCATGCCTACAATGAGAATTATGCTAGGTTGTTCTTGTTGCAAAGAATGTTACCATTGAGCCATGTGCTGATAACGTCTCAAACTCAGATGGAATAGTTGATCTTTAAGAGGGATGTGTAGAGCTATATATGACAAGTGAAGAATGCATTCTCTCTGTATGCATAAACTCCAACTGCTTGGCCGACTCAACAAATGGACTATTATGTACATTGTACAGAGTATATAATAAGCTGTGTTTGTAACTCGCCATATTGTACTGTACCACATGACAACATTGATAAATGCCTTTGGTAGGGTCTTTCAGTTGAAAAGGATTCAAGACTGTTTTAGCAGATATTGGCCAACCATTATATGTACCCTAACTTTTGATTTCTCACAACTTCAACTGAAAGTCGCGTAATTTTTTCAATGATTTTGTTAATTGTTTCCTTTTTAGAATCTCAGACAATGCTTTATGAACAAGTTTGCAACTTGCAGTTTTGTCTGTCCAAACAGTTGATATAGTTATTTGTATCATTATTGCAGCTACATATGATGGGGCTTCTGATTCTCTAGAAATTCTAGAGCAATGTGGCTGTATGATAAAGCTGTTTAACTGTTAATTAATGCAGGCTGGTGCAGAACTTATAAGAAAAACTTTGGAAGAGGATATTTTGGCCACTATGTTGATCTCTCTCACAAAACTTTCTTTGAAAGCATCCATTCTGATTTCTGATCAGGTAAACAGCAACGTCCTGATAGCAGTCTTTTTATATGTACTATCTTATAGTTGCTTTGTCTTTGACTTGACAACTTATGATCCTAGAATTTTTTGAGTCATAGGCATCACTTGATGAAGGTAGCTAACTCCTTTAGGATTTTTCTAGTAGTATTTCATGAAGTTTTAAGTTATTTTGTAGACCTTCTATTGATGTTTTATGCCATCTTAAGGATTTTAATACCATAGTATTGATCCTTCTCTTGGTTATGGCTGTGAAGAGCCTGCTAGGTTGGCTACATGAATTGAAGAGCTCTATATCTGTGCTTCATTTTGTACCACATTTCCGAATAATCTCTGTTATTACTTTTATAAGCTGTACGAAAAAAGAAAAAAAAATTCATTCTTATAGTCTTAGTTGTAACTAAACATGGGCAATGCACCAGTTCATGCTTTATCTTGGTTGTGTAATCACTAGTTCCTGAAGCTTGTTTTTACTCCATTGCCTAACTTTTCAGTCCTCCCCTTTGATATGCTTGTGACATGTAATTGCTATATTGAGGTTTAATCACATTTTCTTGACCCTCTTTCCCCCGGCTTCTGTGCAGGTAGGCTTGCTTAGTTCATTTCTTGTTCAGAACACAAGTTTACGTTTGCAGGGTATAGTGCTTAGATGCGTGCGTTATATTGGAGAGCACGCAGCATGCTTTCTACCTGTTAGTGCTTTTCCATTTCAGAATTTGTTCAGAATGCTTGATGAACCAAATCTGCCTTCTGCTTTGCATTGTGAAGTGTTGCATATTTTTCTCAAGGTAATTTTGTTGACTCAATTTGATTGAGTGATTTATGTACTTGTTTAGATATCTTCATTATCTTGATTTTGTTGCATTACTTGCAGATGCTTGCATATGGGATGCTTGATATGCTTTTAAATGATGTTGATGAGTTCATGAAGCTATTGGGATATGTTGAGGATGCAACTCGATCCCCAATACCTTCTGTAAGATTCTTAGCTTTTCAAATCTTAGTAAGTATATCTGATAAGCTGAAGGGAAGAGATGAGCTAATGTTGGAGGATAATCCTATTATTACTTATCCCACTGGAGTTGTCTCAGTTATCAGTGATCAGATAACTGTATTGGTGAGGCTGGTGCTTGATGGGACCTCTAACTCTCAAGTAGAGCAAGAACTAGGAAGCATGCTCAAATTGCTACTTTTATTGGTTGAGAATCATACAGAATTAAGTGCTTTCATACTGGATAAACTGCACTTCATAATCAAGAATATGGCAGAATCGCAAAACATACCTTTGTCTGCAATACAGAATCCTGAGGTACACAAAGTTGTTGATACAAGATCAAAACAAAATTGTTCTATGCATGTGTTGATGTTTTACATCTACAGATTTTTGGTGGCTTTCCTGGAAACTCTGGAGGATTCGTGTGCTATGACAAATGAAACATCTTGCAAATTAAAACTAATGGTGTCCTTTATTTGTGACAACAATTTATTTGATTGTTCTACCCACACATTCTTTGCCCTTCTTCTGCATGCCCTTGTCAACTGGAACCATCTCATGCCTGAGGATAAGTCTGGCAATTCTGTTCAAAGACTGAGTGGGTCTCCTAGTAAACTGGTTGAAAGTGATGCATTTATCTATGTATGCGCAGAAAACATGCTCACAGGAGGATATAATTGGTGTGCTTACAAAGCTGGAAGATATGCATCCTGTAAGGGGCAATGGGATGTGGCAAGTTTTATATTTCAACATCTGGAAGCAAAGGTTCAGTCTGAACTTTGTTGCCAGTGGTTAAAATTCTTAGTTAAGTTTTCCCATTCTGAGAAGAATGTGAAGGTGCTGCTTCAGAAAGGATCTTGCTGTTTGCTTCTGGACCATGTCTTGGTGCCATTGGCTGTGGATGGGTACATTGAAAAACTTGTTAATGTGTTTGATGATACTTCTTCATCTGTCAAGATTTTGGAAGCCATTTCTTTACAAACGCAAACCATTTGTTTCCAAAGGTGGTTCATGACATTGAGACAGAAGGTTCTACTTGTAATGGTGGATATGATGAAACTCTTAAATGATTGTCTATTTCCCAAAGCAGGCGCCGAGAGCAGTAGGAGCGCTGGGGAAAGTGATTTTACTGATGGCAAACCTATTGTTCTAAAGATGAAAGACATGATGTCTTCTGCGGTTCGAGTATCTGCAAGACTAGCTAGTATGGCAAAGGAATATGATATGATTTCCTCGTCTTTTGTCGACTTAGACTCCAGAAGCTTCAAAGAAATTTCAGCCCTTGCATTCGGTTGTTCAATGTTGGCCTTCTGCACGGAGTTCATCATTTTGATTCCTAATTCACCTGATTTTGTCGATCTGACAAAAGAATCAGGTTATCGCCAGGGTGTCATCATAAAAGACTTAGCTGTGCGTTTGTGGCATACGGACTCGGAGATCTGTAAAAATCTAATGTCACTCTTAAAAGAATGCCAAATGCCTGAGAGATCTTTGCATTTTCTGTCTGGACATGGGATACCAAAAGTTAATCATGTCTCAGAAGATCTTCTTACATTGTGTAGATCTAGTGTTAGGCGGTTAATGAAATTGCAAAATGAGCGCATGAGTGCAGAAGATGAGGATGCAATGTGGCAAGCTTATAAGGATCGTACGCAACTCCTGTTGAATATAGTTGAAGCATGGATCCATATACCTTTCCGGGTTCCCAAGTATTTTTTCAGATTAAGGTATGATGGGGCTGCATTTTGATTTGATATATAATTTATATTAATTGATGGCTGATAACTGATGTTATAAAGGTAATCTTCTACTCTTTATGATCTATGATTATTTTTTTAGACCTGTTGAATGTTTCTTTCACTGTGATCCTTCACTTAAGTATTTAAATGCCTTTTCCAATTATAATGTGGTTGAATTAAAATACTAGAGCTGTTGTGAAGCATTACTTAGGTTCACATTATCATGAAATGCAGGATTAGACCTATGGGATAGGATTGTGAAGCATCACACTATATTTACTGTAATATTCGAACTATAGGGCATTAGGATTGTGTTGAACTGTTGATTTATTGAATAATTGTTCACAAAGAGGCATAATTGATTTATTGTGTTTCAATAGCAATGGTGGAAGATAATGAAGGGCAAGGAAGGAGAGGGAAGAGAAAGGGAAAAGTGGCCTTATGGGTTAAATATTTGGTTTATTAAAAGAGAAAGGAAATTAGCAATCTCCATATCCCTTGCTTTTTCAACCCCTATTAAAAATATAGGAAAATAGTTCCATCACTCTCCCTCGGTCCCTTACCTTCCCTTTTCTTCTAATTTTCTCTTCCAAACACATTGTTAGTTGACATGTGTGTATTCTGGAATGCAGATAGTTCTCTTTTGCATGAAGTTGGTTACAGTATTTACCAATTGTTATGCTGTGAAATCAATTTTTTTTTTTTTCCTTAAAGTTTATCCGCAGACTAATCTATCTTTTCAAAAATTAATTGACTTGTATTTCAGGCCTACTGTGGGTTCTTTTCTTATTTCTCTAAGTGCTGGTAGTAGAAAAGAAAATGAGATTTGTGTCTCTCGGGGATCCCAACTAGCTCTCAATCTGTGTATTCAGCTTAAGAATGTGACATCAGACGTCTGCTCAAGATTCTCCAAGGTCCATTGCATCCTTTCATGTAAAGCATCATCTTTGGGGACAAGGCGTAATAGACAGCCCAGTGGAAAAGGGTGGACAAGTTATCAAGAATCGGAAACAGGTATTTTGATAGAACTGAGTAAGAAATTGCAGTGCCATGTCAAGAAGCGGACCAGAGAATTCTTGAATTGTGGGGATGATCAAAGTGATAGTGAGACAGTGGAGACGTGTGTATGTTTCGAAACAAATGGCTCAGTACAAGGGTTCTCGACTTGCCTGCTGGATGTTTCTGCCTTTTCTGTTGGTTCCTACAGAATTCATTGGCTTAGTGGGGGTGTTGACCATCAAGGAGCTTGTTGGAGCTTCTTGCCACTAAGTCCCTGTCCTCAGTTCAGTGTGACAGAATCATCTTCTGAAATGTGGTGATGTAACTTTTTTTACCAGGCATGTAGAGGTTAGTTTAGTTGGTGTAAAATTTTGTTGTGATGGAACCGTCATCATATCATCTCTGATGTTGTTGTGCAGATCTGTGCTCTTCATATTTTCTAGGGAATTTAGCTTTTTTTTTTTTTTTTTTTTGAGGAAAAGTGAGCAAGCATTATAATTGTAAATCAAGATCCATCAAAGTAAGAACCCTTTGAGGGAAAGAGTTCATACAAAATAACTTAGAATTACTGTTTGTGTCCCACCTAGAAACAAGACGGGCTACGGTATTGCTTGCTTATCAAATAAAAATTATGCTTATGTTATTTTCGAAATCATTAAAATCCTAGATTTTCTTACTATTGCGCACGCATTATACAAGATTACAAGTACTAGTATTTAAATTCTTTGGATGGGAATATAATGCTCAACCAAACAACACAATCATCAATTTGCATTACATATGCACGACAAAGAGCACTAATTTGAGCAATGCAAAAGCTAAAACAACCCAAAAAAGTAAAATAAAAGGTGTGTATTACATTGAAAGATAGGGTCAACCTACTTTGATGATGAAAATGGAGGCACATATTTCACAATTCACAATAAAGCGACGTTAACTTCATCCACCAAACCCCCTGTTAGCGACGTTTGAGGTTAAAGTTACCTTTATGAATTAAATGACAATTTTGCCCCTGGATATGTTTTTAGATTAGATCCATCTATTTCACGGTTGCTGCACTCCCTCTTATTCACTCACTCATTCTCTCTCCTCCATTGAAGCCTACTCTGAATCCTCCATTAAAGCAGCTTCATTTCTCAGGTAATAATGTAAGAAGTTCAATTTTTAATCATCCGATTTCAATTTCACAATCTAGTTTTAATCGTTAATTTTATTCAATTCAATTTTTGCTTCTTCTAAGGTTGATTGATTGTTGAACTATTGTTTATAACTAGTTGATGAATTAAACGTGATTCTTGGAGCTTAGTTTGATAATTTAATCAACTTTGGTTGCTAATGTGTTGGCTTATATAACTGTTTAATGTAAAAGTCGAAACCATGAAAATGGACCTTTTCTCACATTTGGGATGTAGGAAATGAGGCAGGATTATATATATGTATTTCAGATGCTACATTGGATTAATCTTTAGTATGATCATAATATTGTAAATTTCATGAAGGTAATAATGTTAAGAGGCCAATTAGTTTGATTAGTTATAGTTAAAGGGTACCCAAGACCTCGAATCGAATCCCTTTTGCGTCAATGCCCTAGGAGGCTCCATATACACTCCCCCTATTGCCAGGGGAGTGTTTTGTTATGGTAGGTTTAATTTGTGATTCCCATTTTTTAGTTATTGAGAAGTGAGAATTGGTGCAGAATTCAGATACTGTTTGAACTGAATAACTTTGGGAAGATTTCTTTCTAATTGAAGGATCGTGTAACAGTATGCATCATCTAGTTGCGTGGAATACTTTCGTAATGCCTTTCGATGAGTTGATAATGGACCATGATAAATAAATCATAGTGTTGTTTCTTACGCCAATATGTTTTGGATTGTATGGATTTTCAAGTTACATGTATTGGATGTCTTTGTATCTAAATGATCCTAGCCTTTTGTTAAACAAATTCGGAACTTGAGTCTAACTAAATGATCTTCCCTGATTTTGAAAATTCATTGTCATTGTGTGTTCAGAAGATTTGATATAAAGATATGAGAGGAGGGCTATGGCAATTTGGGCAATCAGTTACTAAGCGTCTTGCTCAGGCTCATAAGAAAGCTGTTACACGCCGATGTTTTTCCAGTGAAGGAGACCTCAAGAAGACAGCTCTTTATGACTTCCATGTTGCAAATGGTGGGAAAATGGTGCCTTTTGCTGGTTGGAGCATGCCAATTCAATACAAGGACTCAATTATGGATTCTACTGTCAATTGTAGAGAGAATGGAAGTCTCTTTGATGTCGCTCACATGTGTGGGCTGAGCCTTAAGGGGAAGGATTGCATTCCTTTCCTTGAAAAACTTGTTGTTGGTGATATTGCTGGGCTTTCTCCTGGCACTGGAACCTTGTCAGTTTTCACAAATGAGAAGGGTGGAACAATTGATGATTCCGTCATCACCAAGGTTAAAGATGATCATATATATCTGGTTGTGAATGCGGGTTGCAGAGATAAGGATCTGGCACATATTGAGGAACATATGAAAGCTTTTAAGTCTAAAGGTGGCGATGTCTCATGGCATATTCACGATGAGAGATCTCTTCTTGCCCTGCAGGTAAATACTTAGATCCATCATTTCTTCATTGTACAATCAATTACCCTGCACCCACCATTATGGATGCATGATATATTATAGAGTTGGCGTAACACATGAAGATTGATTATTATTGTTTTCTTCTTCTCTCGAATTCTTTGTCATCCATGTGCACATTTTGTTCAACTGATAAACAGATCAATTTCTGTATAATATTTATTAGTTTGATAGGGTAAGCTGTGTTGCAGTAGGGGGTGGGGTATCGGTCAATCTGCTTTGCTATTCCTAAGAAACCTCTTCATCTTTTGGAGAGGAAGTCTTACCATTGAATTACACCCTTCTGTGCAAACAAATTTTTGGTATGTCAATCCTTGACATCTCTTCCTTTAAAGGAGAAGCTTTTGTTCAACTGTTGCACATTTGTTATGTTCAAATCACAGTTCTATTATGTTTACTCCGTCTTTCATAATTTATTGATCAACTTCTCTTGAATTTTTTTTTTTTTTATCTCAGCACTAATGGTTTGTATTTTAAGATGTAAAAATTTCATTATCGTTTTACCTTTCCCTGTACAGCCAATAATGAAACTTATGTGGATGTGTTTTATCAGGGCCCACTTGCTGCCCCTGTTCTTCAACAATTGACGAAGTATGATCTAAGTAAGTTTTACTTTGGACAATTTTGTATGACAGATGTCAGTGGATTCCCCTGCTATCTCACTAGGACAGGGTATGATCCTCCCTCCTTCAATATGGCTACTGGATTTGTTAAGTAGAAGCTTGAGGCGACATATGCACAGTTTCATATCTTATACTTAGAATCTTTACATACCTTGCTTGATGTAACTTTTTAAATTTTGATTTACCACTTCATGCTCAAGTGAACCTGCAATATACCTTATGAATTGGGGATTGAATTACTTTTCCTTGATTTTTCATTGACTTTAAAGCTATGTTTTCTTTTTCAGATATACTGGTGAAGATGGGTTTGAAATTTCAGTTCCCGATGAGAACGCTGTGGACCTTGCAAAGAAAATTTTAGAGAAATCTGAAGGAAAGGTAAGACTCACAGGGCTGGGTGCTCGAGACAGTTTAAGGCTAGAGGCTGGACTGTGTCTATATGGAAACGACCTTGAGCAGCACATTACACCTGTTGAGGCAGGGCTAACATGGGCTATTGGAAAGAGGAGGAGGGCAGAAGGCAATTTCCTTGGTGCAGAAGTAATTCTCAAACAAATTGCTGACGGTCCATCAATAAGGCGTGTAGGATTTATATCTTCAGGACCACCTGCTAGAGGTCACAGTGAAATTCAGAATGGAAAAGGAGAAAACATTGGTGAAATTACTAGCGGAGGATTTAGCCCCTGCCTTAAGAAAAACATAGCCATGGGTTATGTGAAGTCCGGGAACCATAAGGCTGGCACCAAAGCTAGCATTTTGGTCAGGGGAAAGCCTTATGAAGGAGTCGTAACTAAAATGCCGTTTGTGCCTACAAAATACTACAAGCCAACTTAAGAGAGTATCTATGTGCCTGGTCCCTTAATGTGTTCCCATCCTTTAACATGTTCAACATAATTCAGCCTTGGAATGGTTTTCCTGTTCCTGAAATTTCTAGCCAAACTGTAAAATTTGTCACTGCTACATTTGTAGTCCTAGTTTGAAATTCTTTATGTTGCAGAGAGGTATCGATGGCTAAATTCGAGTTGCTTCAAAGATGTGGTGCCTGTCATGCATAATATTAAGAAACGTTGCATAAATATCCTTATGTGTCCAATAATGTTTCTATATTATACACAGCTTACAGGAACGACGCCACCAATAAGGCAATAAACTGTTTGTGATATTGCTTCCTTTGCGAAGGCAGTCTTCGTTTTGTTGTGTAGTGTTGCCCTTTTCTTTCCCCGTCTTTTGTGTTAAGGATAACAAGAGCATATCACCAAATGAGATCCCATTGATCGTATTGCAACTCAACAACTCGTACACTCCCTCTAGCTGCTTAACTATTTTTTTTCCCAATTCGTACATTGTAATGATATGTTTTGCAAGTTTACACCTAATTTGACTAGTCAAATAATCAAAGCTATGCAAGTTTTAATTGTTGAAGTCAAATGTAACTCATTTAATTAAAAATGGAAGTTTTCCTTAACCAAGCATAACTGCATAAGCGTTCACAAGGAATTATTCGGTATTACACTGTTAGGTCTGTTACTATAGAAATAATTCATAAAAGAAGGAAATATAACTCTAAGGTATGACCATAAGAATTTAAATATAAAAATTACGGAGTCATTAGCAATAACACCAAATGATGCATAACTTTGTCGTTAATTCAAAATGAGTATTATTTACGAAGTAATAATGTTAGAGATTTTTTATCATTGTGTAACTATAGTTCTCTCCAGAACCTTAATCCCTGGATTCTGCATAATCTATTTTTTTAATTTATTAAAATCAATAACTACCTATTCCACTAAATTTAATTACTGTAAAAAAAATAAAAAAAAAAATCAATATATACCTATTCACTAAATTTCCCCCCTCCAACCAAAATAAGTACTCCATATTTTTAGTCGCATGGAAAATATATTTAAGTACTCCGTATTTTTTCGTGTATATCAAAAGTAGTACTCCCTCCGTCCTTTTATTAAGGACCTGTATTCCCTGTCAAAAAAAAAAAATGACCTGTGTTTCTTTTTTGGAAAATTAAAATTAAGGACTTATTTCTATTTTAAGGTTGTACTATTTGAGAATATTCTCCACTTTTTGATGAATTGTCATCACTTTTTTATACTAATAATGGTTTTTTACATCAATTTTCAACACTTTCTCTCTCCCTCTCTACAATTATTTCCAACCATTTTTTTTCCCTCTATCTCTCTAACCCCTATATGTACTTACGTACTTTCACTAACTTTCTTAATTTTCGTGAAAAAACTCAAATAGATTCTTGGACGGAGACAGTAATTTTTATTCGAAAAAATCTAACAAACAAACAATTGTTTTTGCATCATTCATTCATTTATTTCTTTCTTTTATTGAATGATGAAATTCCTTCCTTGAATGAGGTGGTATCTCAGTCAAGTGGACCAATCTCAGTTGTTTTAATTTTCATGTGAAATGATATTCCAATATCCAACAGCTAGGATGTGAGGTTATGCTCAAATTCTTTGCCTTCATCTTTTCTTTCTCACATAAATATCTGTTTTTTTGTCTTTATTAAAATTTTAAAAAAATCTGCTTGTCACCCAATAATTTAGACTAAAAAAGAAAAGAAAAAAAAAAGGTCGAAATCATACTTATACAGGTAAAAAAAAAAATTAGTTGAGCAACCAAATTCGAATTTCAATTTCATGTCACAATCATGCTACTCTGAATTGGTAATTTTCTGGGAATTCTTGGCGCTCACCAGATTTTTTTAAGGTTCAATTTCTTCTTTTTTCTTATGTTCATACCCATTTGATAAATCTGCTGCAATTTAGCAAAAATATCAATTTTGGTCCCGTTATTTCTGCTTTTTTTCTTTGATAAATTGAGGTTATATATTGATTTAGATCTTGTTTATTGCATCAATTTGGGTATTTTTTGCTTCTAGGTTTTGATTGAGCATTTAATTGGTCTATGCCCAGATGAATTTTTGATGAAATAATTGATTTTTAGTTGAAGTATTTTAATTATAGGGCTGAAAATTTTGTTATGTGGAAATAACTATGATTATTTAGTGTTGCCAAGCTTAATTTGAGGTAAAGGGGGCTTATATTTTGGTCTGAAAATGGCTAAAAGTGAGGTGTTAATTGAGAAGGAGGAAATAGAAGAAGCTAGGGTTCCTAAATCAAAGACACCTAGCCCTCTTCAATGCTCAACACCTTCTAAAGAGAAGGAAATTGATGGGATTCCTAAAAATAAGACATATGCCCTTTTGAGTAGACCATCAAGCAAATTCTGGGAGATTGCTCAATGGAAAGATGAGGCTTCTCGAGCTGTATCGAGTCCTAGTAACAATAGTTTACGAGGACGAATAAGCGAGTTGGCTCACAAAATTGATTGGGAGTCTTTGAAGAAAACTTGTAGAGAGTGGTTTAAGAACCCTATGAACTTGGCTTTGTTTGTATGGATAGTTTGTGTTGCTGTTTCCGGGGCGATTTTGTTTCTGGTAATGACTGGAATGCTAAATGGTGCCCTGCCGAAGAAGTCTCAGAGAAACGCGTGGTTTGAAGTCAATAATCAAATCCTTAATGCGCTTTTTACACTCATGTGTTTGTATCAACACCCTCAAAGATTCTATCACCTGGCATTACTATTGAGATGGAATCCACAAGATATATCTAAGCTGAGAAATATTTACTGTAAGAATGGTACTTACAAGCCCCATGAATGGGCACATATGCTAGTTGTTATTCTGTTGCTTCATTTGAATTGTTTTGCTCAGTATGGCCTTTGTGGTCTTAACGTGGGATACAAACGATCTGAGCGGCCTGTACTTGGAGTTGCAGTTTGTATCTCAGTTGCCATAGCTGCACCAGCTATAGCAGGTGTTTACATGATTCTTAGCCCCTTAGGAAAGGAGTATGGATATGATCAAACTGTGGATGAGGAAGCCCAGGTTCCTATGACTGCAGCAAATGGAAGTTTGAATGGTTTAAGGTCAAATTCGCTAGAGAAGAGGCGGTCCTTTGTGGTGAGAGAAGATGGGAAGATTGTTGAGAATCAACCAACATGGAGAGGAGGAATTTTTGATCTGTGGGATGATATTTCTGTAGCCTATCTCTCACTATTTTGCAGCTTCTGTGTTTTTGGATGGAACATGGAGAGGTTAGGATTTGGAAACATGTATGTTCATATTGCAACTTTCATCTTGTTTTGCTCTGCCCCGTTTTGGATTTTCAATTTGGCTGGCCTCAATGTTGATAATGATACTGTCAGGCAGGCTTTAGGACTTACTGGGTTTGTACTTTGTGGCCTCGGTTTACTCTATGGTGGGTATTGGAGGATCCGGATGAGGAAGAGGTTTAATCTGTCTGGCTATACATCTTGTTGTGGGAAACCTGCTGTTTCGGATTGCTTTCTGTGGTTATGCTGTTGTTGGTGCTCACTTGCTCAGGAAGTGCGAACCGCAAATTTCTATGATATTGCTGAAGACAAGTTGTGCAGGAAACAAGACGATGGAGATGACGAGCTGGGGAGTTCTCATCTACCATGCAAAGATGGTGGTATGACAAACAACAGCAATTCAGACTCAAGCTCTCGTGTGATTCAATCTGTTGACACTGTAATCACAACAGCTAATCCCACTTCAGAAAGGGCAGAAGATGCCTCGCTGAAGGAAGGTATGTCGAAACCCATGACACCTCCATTTCCCCTAATGATCGACAGAGAAGGCAATTAGCCTGGTCATTTTCACAATTGTAAAGAGATGCAATGTAATATGGTTGAGGTATGAGCTTTGTTATGTAATTAACAATTTAACATGCATTTTCAGTATAAACTTGAGATGGAATCACAATTTTGTGTTAAAAGACCTCAAAAATGCTTTGTGTGAATTCTGTATTTATCCCATTTCTTGAGTCTCTGCTTGTTACCATAAATTTGAAATCATGCTGCATAAATTAACAAACAATTTGAGATTGAGATTGCATAATACAGCAAATTCCCATTATGTGGGAATGCTGGAATGGTTTATGTAATAGTAATGTAGGTGTATCTTACTTTTGGGGTGCATTAAATCTGTATTTTCTAGTTTCTACTGAGTGTTAAGCTAGACTGGGAGGGAGGTACTATCTGGTGTAAAGGACTGGTAAATTATTAGTATCTGATGCCAAGGGCTAGGAATCACAGTGGTCAGTGGGCATTTTTAAACTGCGGATTAAGCTTCGTTATGATGCTATTATGGTCTTGCAATTGAGATCCATAGCTCGTTGCTTAATGGATTGGTTTAGTATATTTGGTATAACTGTGAAGTTGTTGAAACTAGAGACAACAAAAACAGCAAATTTAGGCAAGGTTTATCGTAGAATCATGAACATAATTTCTCAGACTAACATCTTTGCGCCACTGCTGTGACGCTTCTGTAGATTAATTTTCCTCGCAGTTGCAACCATAAGCTGAAGGGAAATGGTTATAGTTTTCACACTTAAGAGTGCCAAAATCACTTCCCTAAGCTGAAGGCTGAAGCAAGTTTAAGTGTTTAAGTATGGCACCACTCAAACTTGCCTGTCGCCTTCATCGACACTTTGATACTTTGTTACTTTATCATTGCTTACACTCAATATGAAAATGTAAGTGTATAAAGTCTCAAATGAGAGGGTTGTCACAACAAGTGTGTAAACTTTATCATTTCTTCTGGAATAATCTAAAGCGTCGCAAAATAAGTTTGTGTGGAATTATCTCGCCATAAGACTTGGTCCAATAAAAAGAATTTGTGGAGTTTTTTCTTTTTCTTCCCTTATACGGAGTTTTTTCTTTTACTTACCTTGAGTCACCTCCAACTAGGTGCTAACAATATCCAGCTACTTAGACATCGCTATTACGCCTATAGGCAATCTTGTGCAGTCTTATTCATGAATCATGAACTAGTCACGAGCTCATTACTGGTGAATAGGTTGTTAGTGATAGCATACCATGTTAAGGAGAAAACTAGTTATTGTAAAGGGTTTGTTCAAACAAAATATTGATTCGGCCCAAGGCCCTTTTCTAATAGGCTTTGGAACTGAGCGTAAGAGCGGTGATTGATAATTAATACTCCCTCCGTTTTTTTTTAAATATGTTGCATAGCGTTAACTTTTTTACCATGTGTTATCATGTCTCTCTCTTCCCTAAAACCCCATTCAAAATAATTTATTATCACTCTCTATCACGGTCTCCATTTAAAAATATTTTAAAAAGTAGTCACTCTCACATACTATCTCTTTCATGGTCTCCTATCAATCATCAACTTGACCACTTGTATAATATAATATTAAAGCTAATAAACTCTCCCAAAACTCCGTTTAAATGTAAGCGATGCATTTAAATAATAAACGGTGGGAGCACTATGAGTACTAATTCTCTAGGATCGGTTCTCTTAAGAATGATTCATCCCAAAGTTGGTCCAATCTGATCCATTTCATTTTTTAGTGCACATCGATTATTGAACATACCTAATTAGAGGTGTTATCAACTAAATCAAATTCGAATTTCGAGTTGTATGGATACAATAAGTTAGTATGACTCAAATTTAAAATAAATTCGATCCAATCTAACCAGATCCACACCCTGGAATTAAAACCTGATCATACTCATATATGTTAATGCACTTTGTATATATCCACCTTTTCAATGTTTTCTTTCAAGGTTCAATAAAAGATGTGAAAGAGTGGCTCTCAATTTAAGATCAATGGATCATCATTGTCCATATATAGCATGACATTTCCAATACCAATAAACGTGGTAAAGCTAAATAGGCAGCACCTCACACAAATGCAGCTAATGTTAAGGCTACGTAGATTGAATTAGTCAATTCACAAACAGCTCACACTGTCGCACGCCTCAATAATGGAAAATTGACAAAATATGTAAGTATGTTAGATATTCTCTCTATCTTCTTCATTATTGCTACTATTTATATTCTCTCACCAAAACCCATATATACAAACACATTCTAAATGACAACCTGTTCCGCGTACCAAGGATTTGGGAGCCTGTAACTTGCCTTCTTCCAATCTTGCCTTTTGTGTAAAAACAAAAATACATTGTATTATGTATCAACTAGGATGTTCTCGTGCCACCATGTTAATATACGGGATATATTTTTCGTAAAGTTAAAACAATTTTAAGTAGTTATTGATTGAGAAAATTAGTAGAGTGGATAGTATATGAGAGAGATGTATGTATATATACGAGTAATTTCATTATTGAGTGTCAGGAGAATTATGATTAAAAGTTGTAGAAGCAACTCTTATATTATTGTGTAAGGTATCATAATTTTTTTTTTCCCCTATATAAGACATGCACTACATATTTGTTTCCCCAGTTATACCCTACACTTTTTCTCTTCCTTTGTAATTTATGGCAAATGGATAATGTCACCCTACCATATGTAATAAGCTTCACCCTCTTATCCATTTAGTTGGTGTTCTATTAACCTAATTTGTACGTGTATGAACTTAAATCTAAAATTTATTTTTCCTAAACTAACCTTATTTGAACATATTTTTCTTAAGATAAGTGAAAATAAGACAAATAGAACGAGTTGAAGCCTAATTAATTATAAGTCCCTCATTATATACTGATTTTTATTGAATTGAAATTATTTTTACTGAACAGAATTTTTTTTTTTTTTTGGAAACAAATCAATTAATTAATCAAAAGTCATACGGCATCTACTAATGAAATCTAAATCAACAGATACAAAAATTTGAATCAAATAAGGGTTTCCTTTATCAAAGTTACGATCGTTGAATTGATCTTGCATTGTGGTACATCTCTCGTACACATCGCTGGAATATACAGCCTTTTCGAAGAGACGATCTAACGATTTGTTGTAGCCGTAAGGATGATTTTCGTCTGATTCTCTTGAACGCCTTTGAAGATTTGACAACTGTTGCGATCCCGGACAACTCTTTACCAACGAACTGATAATCGGACAAAAGATGAGTACCTTTTTAATAAACTCTACCACACAAATAAACCCTATACAAAAACAAACAACTAAATTAACAAAAACTAACGACTCCACTATAGGGAGACACTCCACCATAGGGAGACGGACGAACATCTACACTACTCGTTTAGATTTATTGAAATCTAAATTGCAAAACTAAAGAAAAATAAGGGGAAAAAGTTCGGAAACAGTCTAATTTCCTCGAAAATTAGACTATTTCTGGCCTAAACTGCCAAAAAATTTAGAAAACCCAAGAAAAGAGGATCGGAGGAAAGAAATAAGAGATCAGTAGTTGAAAGGTGTAAATACTACTTCGATTTAACTGAAAATTTTTTTACTAAAGTGAAATTATTTTTACTGAAGTACTGATCTGAACTGAACTTATTTTTTAATGAATATTATTTTATTAAGGTGAAGTGAATAAGGCCTAAATTACTTTGGTCTTATAAATTTATAATCTTATCATATTTGAAAATTACTACACACTTGTTTTGAACTTTAAGCACTTAATCACACGATCTCAAGCTCATGGTCCTCTTTATTTTCGTCTTATTATTATCAGTCTCGAACTGATTGATTTGTTGATGTTATGTGTTGTCTGAATCATTCAACAAACAAATTACAAATGCCCCACCATTTAAAGGTTGGATGTTTACTTGGGTAACTTTTATACGGAGTATCTTAAATTATTTGTCATGCCACCATTAAAAACAAATGAAAAAAAATTAGTATACATTAATCAAATCCAACAAAAAAATTTGTATTAATTATGTGACAATTGACAAGCATTATGCGTTATCAATTATTTATAGGACTAAATTTGTGATGGAAACTAATTATGGCAACTGGCGGCCATAAGATCGATGGATGTTGTTTTGTTTTCACTTATATTGATTGATTTTACGCTAGATGCAATGTTTTAGATTTAGTAAAAATCTTCAGTTAATATTTGGCATGCATACGCCTTAGTGAAGCGTGGTGTGCGGCTCGTTTTATACTCTATTATGCACTTGAATGCACGATATTATAGAGTATAATCGAGTACGAGTAATACATTGATAAATGTGTACAGTTTAAATGAGAATTTTTAGAATCAGTGGAGTATGCATTTCATCACATCCAGGCCACACAAATGTTGGAATTGGATTTGGAACATAGCTTAATGATATTAGCAATCTAAATACCATTGATTAGTGGTTAATCTAGGCTCCAAAAGTCCAAAATTTTAGTGGTTAATCTAATCATCTTCTTTCCTCGTCTTTTACAGTAATGACGGTCCATAAAATCAACATAAAAAAGTAGCATTACATAAACTATAGCAAAGCCGTTACCACCTTTTTATTTAACCTCATATTTTATTATCCATATCTTCCATTACTTAGTTAATTAATTATGTTAAGCAGTGTTATTAGGTCCAATTACCAAGACAACTGTCATCTTATGCACCCTAAGATATGGGTGAAAGGTTATATAATATGCCGCCCAAGAAACAAAGGTTTATGATAATTTGGGGCCAATTGTAGCTCAAAGCTAAGTTATTATAGCTTTGACATTTAAGTTGTTATTAGATATTTTAATTTTTTAAATTAATATTATTAAGAGAGATGTTTATCATACTTTATTTACACTATCTTTCCATCTTCAAATAAAACTTTCATCTTCCAGTATCGCATATTTATTAGAAGAAGATTTTTTTTAAAAAAAAGTGGAATTTGGTAGATTAAAGGTGAGCATGTAAAACCATATTATAAAAGTGAAGTTAAAAAATGAAATTTGGTGTTTTTGAGGTGAATAAAATACTAATAGGGTGAAATGAAAATTTTCATTAATATGAGTAACTTTTGTAAGTGACACATGAGATTTTTAGTTGTGAAAAAATGATGCCATATACTCTATATGATAATGCATGTGAGTCAGGATCATGAT